ATAAACAATTACAATATATATTTTTGAAAGCATTCTTACTTTACAGCATTTTTTCACACCCACCTAAAACTCTTGCACAGTACTGTACTTCTAAGTTTTATTCTATTTATTTTCTATTTTTCCCATGACATCTTTATATTACTCACAATATATCACTTAGGAAATACATATCGTCTAGTTTCTTTATAAAAGTGCAATTAGTTTTCTGACTAATTCAGTAACTGGACAAGGGAATAGAATTATGCAAACAAATATAATTTTATATTTCATCATAAGATAAACAAATATTCAGAACCTCATAAATGAGAAAGTATTTTAAATCTACCTTGCAAAGCAATCAGAGTTAAATTTAACAGTCAAAAGTAAATTACTCATGGTAAGTCATAATAAAAGTTCTTTTATTAAGAAATATGGATGTGCAAACTTCGGCAATTCAGGAATGGAATACTCTGGAAAACTCCAAAACATGGTTTTCCCCTCCAGACCATGTTGTTTCAGGGGCAGTCTGGCATTTTCCAGAAGTAAATTCCCCAAATCGAAAGGAATTTAAGGGGTAACATTCCAGACTTCTCTGGAACAATCAGTTCCCAAATTGCTGGAGTTCACACAATTCTCCTAAGGATTCTTCTCTATTGTACTACTCAACAAGGTATTAATGTATAAGTGCACATTAGAAAGGGTACATTAAATTTGCTAAAAATACAGAAATATTTTCAGAACAGTGTTTTCAAAATAAATATTTTTCAAAATGAAATATAGTTTACATTTAATCTTTACTGATTTCCTATGAATTCATTATAAGATTCTAAAGAAATATGTTTACATTCTTGATCCAGTGGAATATAGACATCAACTGTTAATTTGTAATTTGTAAAGTTGAAATATAATTCAAATAAAATTTAAAAAATGCAAATACTTTTTACTGCACAGTACATATAACGACAGAACTGTTTATGTTGACTAGTTAGGTATCTTTATTTTTATAGTTATACTGCTTACCTCTTCAGAAACTTTCCTCCTTTTGCACTTTCCTGTTCCCCAGTCTCTGGATAAAAAGAACGCATACGAGTCTCCTCACGTGCAGCATTCTGTGATGCAACTGCTTTTGCAGGGCTTCTCCTTGAAGGAATGTGATGTAATGGGCTATTCTGAGAAGGGCTATAACGACTGGAACCATTTCCAAGGGAACCAGACCCAGATCTTTCGGGGCTATGCTGAATGGAATGTGAATGCTGAGGTGTGTCTTTTGCCGAGTGGACTGTGCTGAGTAAGTGAGCATCAGAGCATGAAGAACTCTGACTAGGTGGAGAGGCAATAGAAGGGCTATGAGGTGACCGTGGACTGTTATCGTATGCAGAAAGACCAGGCCAAATATCAGCTGAAGCTGCTGCTGATTTATTAAAATCATCTAAAGTCTCAGAAGGGTCGTGTTCAAATGTACTTTTCTCTTCCTCTTGTGATTTACTTTTTAATGGGCTGTCCTGCAAAGCAGCTGCCTCAGTTTTCTTCGGCTGCTTTTCTGATGACCCACGTCTTTTGGAAGAGACTGGAGATTTGCTATATGGAGATGAAGACCGAGATGAAGACGATCTTGGAGATCTAGAAGATCTGTAGGATCTACGAGATCTGCTCCGAGATCTTTGGGAAGAGACTGAACGTCTTTTTGGACTCCTGGAACGTGAGCGCCCTCGTCTTGGGCTTCGAGAATGCCTTCTATTCCAGACAGGCCTGTAACCTCCACGGTGGTATCTGCCTCCACCTCCTGGATAATATCCTCTACCTCTTCCTCTATAGCCATAAGGACGTCTCATTCCTCTATTATTTCTGTAATCCCTGCGGTAATCTCTATTATAAACACGATCTCTACTGCGAGACCGTGAGTATGTTCTAGAGCGAGACCTAGAACTAAGATAAAAAGCATGTTAGTGTCCCCAAATTTCATGATTCTTGAAAAACAATATACTGGCCAAGATCCAAAGTAAACTATTTAGTGGTATGAACAAGAACATAAAATTTCTATGGGAAGTACTGTAAGGCAACTCTGGAGCAGCAAGTTGTATGGATATAAGAACTGCCACCAGAATATGTCACCTGGTCCAAATTTGCAGATAGAAATATTTTATCTTTACTGACTGGAGGTGATGGAAGAAATGAGTTGACAGAGACCAATGACTATTTTCCTATGTTTTGGTAGCATTATCTATAGACATTCCAATACTATCCTATTTGTTAAGAGTAGAAGAATGGTATCCTGAACTGGGAATGATACATTTCAGAGGTTAACAGGTAAACTGTTTACAACAGGAAAAAGACTCATAGATATCTACAAACTTAAATATCTTTTAAGTTTAACTTAACTTAAATGTTTTTTAAGGCTCGCTTACTTCCTGGCTGATTTTGTCTGAGCTTAAAAACTTAGCAGGGTGAAGCAAGACTTCCAAGGGCTGTTGGCTAAACATCACGATGAGTCAAGCTCAAGTTGAAGAAAACTGTCTCCCCCCCCCCAAAAAAGAGAGACACTGTGCTTTGTTTTCCTCCCGTCTCCTACAGTAAACAGACTACTTTATACTTTGTTTCTTTGGCTTAGATACCCCATATCTACCATTGTTTTAAGCAACTTTGACTTTTCTCTCTCTCTTCCCTCTCCCCATTCTCTAAGACTACTCGCAATTTATTTTATTATTTTCTTTAGTTGGCAGTTTTTTTCCATGCTGCCTTCATAATCAACAGCAGCTCTCACTGCTAACCCTTCACTAACTGGCTGTATAGCATTCTACATATTTTAAGAGTCCTGGCAGACATTCTGGGTTCAGTAATCAAAGGATGTAGAAAAAATCCACTATCCTCTGTCTGCTAGTTCAGTAGGCAGCAACAAGTTTTTCTACCTCGCTTTTAAGAAAATGGGATGAATATGGTTTGAGCCATGAACACTTAGCAAAAAGGCAGAACTGGGAAATGAATCTGAAACAACTGGGTAGAAGGAAGTGAAACTAAGAAAATTAACAGCAAGCAGAAGCCTGGAGTCAATGGGAAGACTTAAATATGCCACCGAAAATGGGGAGTAACAAGGAAGAACCAAGATATACAGAAAAAGAGAGGAAAAAAGGGTGGCTCATTTGTGATATTTGAATGCAATCAGGAAGAGGGCAATTTTAAACAGCATTTTGAAGTTCTACTAAAAATCAGAATGTAAAAATCAAGCAACTAAGTTGAGTTAACAAATAAAGTGCAAAATAAGTACCTGTATCGCTTTTTTCTAGAATGTGATCTGGATCTGGATCTTGAACTGGACTGGGATCTAGTCTTTGATCTTGAGGAATGGGATCTAGTGTTAGAGCGACCCATATTTTCCACAACAGCTTATACCTGTCCAATAGAAAAAAAGAAAACATGTGGCCCTAATTTTATTTATTATTAGCAGAGATAAATTATACCATATTTTATTCTAAATAGAGATCATTACATACATCTCTATTTTTATCAAATGAATTGTAGCTTAACTTTCCAATTATTTCATCTGTACATTTCTTTAATTTGGGAATTATACTCAACTTCGGTATTCAACTGGTTTCTCAACTCCTTATTCCTGCAACAGTAACTTCAGCCTGATAATGCTACATATAAAAGGTTACTGATTCCAGACTATAGAGGACAAGGGAAGGGAAGAAATAGTGAAAAACAAAGTCCATAAGTACAGTTCTATCTTTTCACTCTCCGGCACAATTTAATCCAAGTCAACAAGACTCTATGACCCTTGTGTAATATTTTGGGGAGTGCAGGCCTAATATGAGGGGAAAGGTGCAAACAACTTCAGTTAGCCAAATTAAATGTATGTACATTTGGACCCAATCCAATGTTTCGTAAATAATTTAAGATTAAAGGAAACTCTAACCTCACAAATATTTCCCACAGCTGCAACCAATCGCAAAACAGAACACCTAAGAATAATTGACAGCATTGGATTTTAAGCATAAGGCAAAAATCAGTAGCAAGGTCCACAGATAACAGGCACTTATCAGCCTTTCTCAATATTTACAATGAATATATTTTACTCAAGTGGCTTTTATCTGTATGCTGCTCCCTCATTTACAATTACGTACATTAAACTAAAGCCATTCTCCAATTATTCCCTACTACATTTCAGAAAAATTCAGAGATTTATACCTATCGGGATTTACATGTTCTCTATTTAAACACAAATAAAATATGCAGTAGTTTTACAGGCACTGGGTATGTTTTGAACATTTAGAAGAATGTATTCTTAGTTTTGAAAAAGCCAACATACCATAGAAACCTTTTTGCATGTAAGAGTTCAGTGCCCACCCACTGATGGCTTATGATTTTGTCCTCTTTACTATACAGTAACTCTAAATACAGTGACACATGAGCTGCTGCAGCCACAGGGCGACCGGGTCAGGGATCGCGGCCACGCAACAGACAAACACTGGAAAGAGGCAGCATTTTTCCTCCAGATAGCACCGAAATATTCGCGAGCGACTGCAAGGCGCCCAGGTTGCCTTGGCCGCGCCCAAACAAGCGGGAGGGAGGCGGGGGAAGGGGGAAGAAGGCAGCTGACCGGCCCCGCCAAAGGCGCGGAGGGCACACGAAGCTATCTTCCGCGGCCCCTCTCCCCCCTTCCCCTCATCAAGCTCACCGCGTCTCGCGCGAGAAAATGGGGGCGGCGATCCTGACGGGAGAAATTAAAAGCATTCTTAGAAAATGGGGGGACAAAAAGTGGGAGGGG